GTCTGTGAACGCACCACAGACAGCCTGAGTCTGTTTACAGTTTACTGACTGTTAACGCACCGCAGACAGCCTGAGTTCTGTTTACTGTTTACTGACTGTCTGTGAACGCACCACAGACAGCCTGAGTCTGTTTACTGTTTAAGTACTGTCTGTGAAGGCATCACAGACAGCCTGAGTCTGTTTACTGTTTACTGGCTGTCTGTGAACGCACCACAGACAGCCTGAGTCTGTTTACTGTTTACTGACTGTCTGTGAACGCACCACAGACAGCCTGAGTTCTGTTTACTGTTTACTGACTGTCTGTGAACGCACCGCAGACAGTCTGAGTCTGTTTACTGTTTAACTACTGTCTGTGAACGCACCACAGACAGTCTGAGTCTGTTTTCTGTTTACTGACTGTGAACGCATCACACACAGTCTAAGTCTGTTAAACTACTGTCTGTGAACGCACCACAGACAGCCTGAGTCTGTTTACAGTTTACTGGCTGTCTGTGAACGCACCACAGACAGCCTGAGTCTGTTTACTGTTTACTGACTGTCTGTGAACGCACCACAGACAGTCTGAGTCAGTTTAACTACTGTCTGTTAACGCACCACAGACAGTCTGGGTCTGTTTAACTACTGTCTGTGAACGCACCACAGACGGTCTGAGTCTGTTTAACTACTGTCTGTGAACGCACCACAGACAGCCTGAGTCTGTTTACTGTTTACTGGCTGTCTGTGAACGCACCACAGACAGCCTGAGTCTGTTTACTGTTTAAGTACTGTCTGTGAAGGCATCACAGACAGCCTGAGTCTGTTTACTGTTTACTGGCTGTCTGTGAACGCACCACAGACAGCCTGAGTCTGTTTACTGTTTACTGACTGTCTGTGAACGCACCGCAGACAGTCAGTCTGTTTACTGTTTAATGACTTCTATTAATTTATTCAATTTCTTAAATATCTATACTTTTTTATTTCATTCTTATTTATTTCTTGTATCATAATATTATTTAGATTATAATTGATTATTTAAATTAATATTTGAATTCATTTAAATTAATTTTATTATTTCTTTTTATTATTTTTAATGTTAATTTTTTTACTTTCCTTCCTGTCTCAGATAATGACTTTTTCGTTTTTTGGCTCCAGCTGACCTCTGGCTGACCTCTGGCTGACCTCTGGCTGACCTCTGGCT